AGTTAGGCTCGGCAATCGCGTCGAGCAGGTATACCAGCGCGTCGGTGGCGGATTGTTCGTTTAGACACGTTGTAGACAGCAGCAGCGCGACGATTACTTTGTGTTTAATAGAGATTAATAGAAGAAATAGCAAGCTGAATATCTGCTTTATTCAAAGCTAATTGAGTAGCGCTACGTTGAGCCATTGTTCGTTGAGATAGGAGAGGTGCGCAGGTTTGGTGGGGTGCGGCGCTCGCTTGCCTGCGGCGCTCGCTTGCCACATACGTTATACAGAGTTCTTTTGTATATCTTATAGTATTAAATAACTTATAAGCTATAGTATTAAGTTATTCTTATAAGAGAGTGACCCTTTGAGCTTTATATGTAATAATCCTAACTTTAGTAATCTACATCTTATAACGTTGTCGACTTATAGTAGTAGTGTGATATGCGTAAACATATTATACAACTACAATAGTATGTTTGCCTTATCCTTAGCCCTAAGCCAATTAATCGACTTAAAGCATGATAGAACCAAGGCCCGCTAACTTCATATGAAACAGCGTACTGGATTTAATCTTGCTTCCCTGTCCACACTTACCAACGAAGAATAACAAGTTGGTAAGCTCTAGCATAATTTGGAAGCGAAATGAAATGACAAAAGTCAGATCATATTAATAATATTAGAGGCCTCCAACACACTCGAGACGAGTATGGACGACTTGGGTTAAATAAAACCCCTCGTAAGCCTACAGACTAGATGTCGACTTGTCGTCGCACAGTCATTAGTCATTGACTCTTGCTAAGAGTCAGCGACAATATGTTCTTCGTCATCAACTTCAGATAAGAGTTGACAAAGGTGCGACACCCCATGGATGTCTTGACCACCAGCTAGGCTCCACAAAGCAGCCAGCTGCGCACAGTGTGATCAATTCTTCTGCACTCGTGCTGTGGACAGTTTGCTTGGCAGGAAGAGATTTTCGCACAGCAACTGATACCGTATTCGCGAAAGGTATCAAGAACTGGTGCGCAACACCTTCGATCGTGGCGGACATAAGCCCATCTATAGCCACTGATTGTTGGAGGATTTGACAACGATATATAGTATGGGGCTTTGAAACCTAGCATCAAGCGAGCTCCATCCAGGGACATCGTGTCATTTCCTCCCACTCCAAGGGTAGGCGAATGCCTCAATGGAGTTGACCGTGAGGGGAATCAACGGTCATAGGATCTGCTTGATCGAGAGATAAGACTTATAATCCCTTAATACTTCTCCTCTGCGATCAAGATCGATTGGAGGTCGCTGCTGCGGGAATAGGAAAACCGCGCATCCAGCGGATTGCAGAACTTGTTCCGCATTTGATAGTATATGGTGTCGCGGGATAGCCTCAGAGCAAAACGTGCCAGGGGCCATACGGCCTGTCGAAGCCGCCCGAAAGCGGCTTCATATCGGTTGGCTTCTTTCTCCGAGTTTGGGTTCCAAGACCTGCCAGCTGCTCTCGTATTACCGAGAGGACCAGCCTCTAAAGACTCCGCACTCGGTTTCGGGGGAAAAGCCCCTGCTTCTGAGGTCCACAACGACATAGTTATAATAATAATAATAATATGTTTAAGTGTTCAATACCCACGTGGGACACGTGATTTGCTATTCGGAGTAAACTCCTTGCCTAGGTTATCGTCAGCTCAATTTGTGCCATAGTTGCGAGCTCAACAGCCTCATCGAACTCCCAAGTCAAACAGCTTCGTTTGAATTTTTCGCTCAACGCCTCGTTGAGCGCTTGGGTCAACGCTTCATTGAACGTCCAGCTAGCTGGATCAAAGGCTCTCACTCGTCGATTGAGTCTGGTGAACATGCCCGGCTCTTCCTGAAACTCCACGGCCGTGAAGATAACTTCAGTTCGACTTTGAACAGCTGTGTCTGAGTCGACTGCTGAGTGGGTTTCAGGCCAAACAGAGAGCGACATGTGGACACAGTTCAGGGTAAACTTCGAGAGTAGTAAAAGGTTCTCGATCTCCGCCGAGATGGTGAACCAGCCGTTGGATCTGGTGGGATAGTGCACAGTCGCTGCTGGATTTCTGCGGGACGTCTCCCGACTTTGATGCTTTGCTGTGAATGGCGACAGGCCAGCTGGAGCCGATCGCCCAGGCTTGAGGCATGTAAAGGCTCACATCATGCAGCCGGGGGCCAGGCCGGTGCATGATGCTACGCCTGATGTGTATAATAAAACCATATGGTCAACGACGATGCGTCCTGGATCAGACATGAGGATGCGACGACGAACGAGACGACCGGGTCGGTAGATGGAGGTGGTATCGGTAATGTATGACGTGTCAAAAGTCCAGTCGGGACATGGAATGGGTTGTGACGCGTCGAGAAGCGGCGCGTCATGAAAGAAATGGAGAGATGAACGGGCGCACATGCCTCGGGAGGCAGCAGAAGACGGCGGTGTTGTGCGTGGGGACTGGATGGGGGGAAAAAGGTGCGTGGGTGAATTTTATAAGAAGAAGTAGACGTGGATAAGGGGAGGCCAGGAAGCGAGGATTTTGCGAAGCCGAGGTTTGCTTGGCGCTGGTCCGTGCGGTCGCGTCATCGAACAGCAGCAGGCCTCAACCACGACAGTGTGAAGGAAGTCTTCCCACTACCGGAGCGCAATGGTGAGACGACCTTGGACTATTCTAAATACTCGAAATATGCGCTGACCAACATGACAGCCGTCAACCCGCCGTGGGCCGCCCGTCAAGGCGCCTGTCAAACGCGCGTCGAAATTAGCCAAAGAAAACGGTCTAACCGCAGACCAAGAGGCCGAGATACGTGAGGCGTTTGGTCTGTTTGCAGTTTCACATCCAGATCACGACGATTCGAGGGAAGGCGTCTTGAAGAGAGGCGACGTGCGACGGTGCCTGATGTAGGTGGCACTCGGATGCGCGTGGCAGTAATGCGCGTATGCTAACAGCCATGAAGCTCTCTGAACCTCACGCCTGACAAGTCGGAAATGTCGTCTATTCTTTCCACAATCGACCCGCTCAACACCGGCGTCGTTGCATTCGTCCCCTTCCTTTCGTACGCTGCGATCGCCATACACTCCAAGGAACAAGGATCCGACGAGGAGGACGAGGACGATGAATACCGAGAAGAGAGCAATGCAGAGGAGGTCAGGGCAGCATACCAGTTGTTTACGCACGGCACGGCGGGTCCCATTACTCTAGCGCATCTCCGACGGGTCGCCAAGGAGTTGCGAGAAGACGTGCCAGATGACGTGTTGAAGGATATGATTCTTGAGGCGAATGGCGGGGTCAAGGGCCAGGGCAAAGACGTTGGCGGGGTCAGTCTGGAGGACTTTGAGAGGGTGATGAAGAGGGCCGGGCTGTCGTTTGGATGAGAGACGGCGGTGCAGGAGGAAGCCACGATAGCACAAAGCGTCGCACGGCGGGCACGAAGACGGCGGGAGGAGTCTCGGGCTGGCATCTTGTGTCGACCCAAGACAGCCCGCGGAGACTTTGTGCGTTTAGCCCGCCACGATGCGCCTGGCACATGCCGGCATGGAGCGCAAACGCCGGCCAGGGCATTCGGCCAGGGCGCCTATGGGGATTCGAGGCACGTGTTTGGGCAAAAGGGCAGCAGCGCAGACATGTCGCAGTAGCAGTAGCAGTAGCAGTAGCATAGCGGCAGCCGCTGAATGCGGGCTCGGCGGCGATGATAATAATAGAGTGCGGCCGCGGCAAGGGGCGCATTTCCCAAAAGTCGGTGCCAAGCGGCAGGGACCTTGCTCACCAGGCACAAGAACACGCACACAGGCACGCATACGCCAGCAACCGCCGTCCATTACACCTCGCCCGTGGATTCGTGCTGCCGACCGAGACTCGAGTCCTGCCGTGATCCACACGCCCGCCGCCGCCGTGTGCGTGTACGTGTTCTCGCCGCCCCCCCACACTAGACCGTCCTGGGAGCGCAGCGCAACTGAATGCCCGCGCCCTGACCTGCGCCCCCTCGTGCACCCTCGTCTTTCCTGGAAATTCCATGTCGAGCGGCATTGAAGTTCCCGGCCAACGACGACCCGGCATCTGGTCCTACTTTGGTTTCTCTGGCCCCCGCCGCCGTGTCTCCGTCTCCCTGCCACGCACGCTCGACTCGAGTCGCAGCAACGACGACGACCCCTACGAGAAGCCCGCCAGACACTCGCGCCATCGCTCCACGTACGCAGACGCATTCATGAACGACCACAAGGGCAGCGCCGTCATGAACAAAGGGCAGCGCTTGCGCTACCTCAAGACGGGCGGCGTCATTGCCTTTGTCCTCTTCGTGCTGTACCTGATTGCGCCCGGCAGCAGCATCCCACGCCCCGGCGGTATGTACACGGCTGCCTCCTCTGCACACACACACATATATATACACAGCTGACATCCACAGCCGCCTCCCGCCCATCCGGAGGCAACACGGCCGCCGGCGACGTCAAGGCCGAGTGCACCAAGTCGTACTCCAAGGACAAGCCCCTCATCCAGTATGCCCTCATGATCGACGCCGGCAGCACTGGCTCCCGTATCCACGTGTACAAGTTCAACAACTGCGGCCCCAGCCCCGCGCTCGAGAATGAAGTGTTTGAGATGACGCCCAAGAAGGAGGGCGGCTCGGGTCTCTCGGCGTACCCCGACGACCCGGAGGCTGCTGCGAGGAGTCTGGACGTCCTCATGGACGTGGCGGTGAAGAACGTGCCCAAGGAATACCAGTCTTGCACGCCCGTCGCCGTAAAGGCAACGGCTGGCCTGCGCAAGCTCGGAGAGAAGAAGAGCAACGATATCCTCGCTGCTGTGCGTCGTCATCTCGAAAACGACTACCCCTTCCCGCTCGTCTCGGAGGAGAAGAACGGCGTCGAGGTTATGCCCGGCGAGATGGAGGGTGTATACGCCTGGATTACCGTCAACTACCTCCTCGGCAAGATTGGAGGCCCCGACAAGAACCCCACAGCCGCCGTTCTTGATCTCGGCGGTGGTTCGACTCAGATCATCTTCGAGCCCACCTTCCCCGACACCCCCCGCGGCGGACTCCCAACCAAGCTTGCCGAGGGCGACCACAAGTACGAGCTCAACTTTGGCAACCGCAACTTTGACCTCTACCAGCACTCGTACCTAGGCTATGGCTTGATGGAGGCTCGCAACAACCTCCACAGCACCATCCTCGCCGGGCTCCACGAGACGCACAAGGACAACCGCGAATACCTCAAGAAGCCCATTGTAAACCCTTGCATCGCCCCTGGTATGTCGCGCGAAGTCGAGGTTCACATGCCCAAGGGCCACGAGCTGGGCGACTCGGTCACTGTCAACATGACTGGCCCCTCTACAGCCGCACCAACACAATGCCGGGGCTTGGCCGAGAAGACGCTCCACAAGGAGGATGCATGCGCTATTGCGCCGTGTGCCTTCCGCGGTGTGCACCAGCCGCCGTTTGCCCAGACGTTTGCCAGCGAAGCCGTGTACCTTCTCTCGTACTTTTACGACCGCACACAGGAGCTCGGCATGCCCGAGTCATTTACTCTGCGCGAGCTCCAGGACCTTGCCGACAAGGTGTGTGCCGGCGAGAAGGGCTGGGATGTCTTCTCGGCCGTGCCCAAGGCGCTCGACGAGCTCAAGGGCCGCCCAGAGTGGTGTCTAGACCTCAACTTTCAGTTTGAGCTCCTCAGGAGTGGATACGGCATGCCTATTGACCGTGAGGTCAAGATTGCCAAGAAGATTAAGGACAATGAGCTTGGATGGTGTTTGGGCGCTAGGTAAGTTTGTTTTATTGTCATATTCGAATGAGGGGATGAGTACTAACGTATGCAATTAGTCTCCCGCTGCTCGAGCCGAATTCGGGATGGAAATGCAAGATTAAGCAGATCCAATAGACGACTATCATGCTCTTACTATTGGCTGTTTTTTTCTTTTCTTTCTTGGTTCTATTTGGCCATGTTCACTATAGATGGGATCTTGCACTTTTCTCGGGATGTCGAGTTTCTCTATCTCGTCTTCTCTATTCATTGTTGGACGGGGGAAACGGAAAAGCTCGTTTATTCATTCATGCATACATGATACCGTGTCTCCTCCACCGCCACCCCTTTGTTATCTGGAACGCATTACGGAATCAGCGTTTCTTTCTTACAAAGGGAGTATGTGTGTTGCATTCCATGCCAACTTTGGACACGTCTAGTCATGTATGTATGCATATAAGGGAAAGCGGGATGTTACACGGAGGCTCGGCTATACTTTTCTATGTTCGGTCCGGGTCAGGGCGAACAGAATAAAGTGGTAGGCCGTGCGGTAGTCCGTGCGGTAGTCTGTGCAGCAGGCCGTGCAGTTTGGTGCAAGGAGTTATAGATATCACCCAAGGATAGACAAACTAATACTATAATAAAGGAACAACTTGTATGAATCTGTGTAGGAGATGAAGTATTCTAAGTTGACTACAAGTGTAATGATGAAATGTGACGCATTCTTACACGCATTGCTTCAGGTCCCTTATCCTACCACTACTCGTCTTCTCTTCTGGTAGAGGAAGAAAGGATTCCTTTCTTTCTTCTTCCTCTCTTTTTCTTCTTCTATTCTTCTTTCTTCGTCTATTTCTCTCCTATTCTCTTTCCTCTTTTCCCCCTTTCCCCCTTTCCCCTTTTCTTCTTTTCCCCTTTCTCCTTTCCCCTTTTCTTCCTTTCTTCCTTTATAGTATTATTACGTACCCCTTATATAAGAGAAGATAAAAAAAACCAAGAGAGAAGAGAGATAAGAAAAATAGTAACATATGTAACTTACTTGTATTAGTGTGCATAGATAGGAAAGATTTATAGTGTATTATATATTTCTATAGTGCAGCAATATTTTTTTTGTTATTTACTATAGGCATGCATAGTGTTAGACTAGGGGAGAAGAAAATAGGGGAAATAGGGGAAATAGAGGAATTGAGGCACATAAGAAGAATAGGGGGTAGAGGGCAGGGAATAGGGGGAATAGGGGCACATAAGGGGAATTATAGAATAGGGGGGATAGGGGCACATATAGGGATAGGGGATAGGGGGATAGGGGAATAATCTAATCCAGTCTAGTCTCATATACTAGTCCTAAGCGATTGAATCAGGGGCATAGAGGGATATGTAGGAGGGCAATAATGTCAATCCAACACTATGTCCAATAGTCCTCTTTTCTTTTTTCAAACGTGGTACTATTGTTTTTTTGTCCTCTTCTCTGTGTGTTCCTATTCTTGCTATTATTATTATCCTTATTGTCAATAAACGATATAATGTAATTGAGTAGTAGTACTTGAATTCTATCCTTTCAGGCAGTCTCATTCATTCTCTTACACGTTTAATTTCACGTTTAATTACAAGGATCAAAGAGGGGGAAACTTTATTCTTCACGTGTACACAATAGACGTGGAGGTGGATGTAGAGGAAAAAAAAGCTCTTTTTCTATTTCTTCTTCATTTTTATTCAAGGTCTAGTGTGTACATACAGTCATGTATGGCTAGGGTATCTAATATCCAGAAGTCCAACATATTACTTGCACACTACCTGTGCATATAGGACCGAAGAAAATCAAGACAAAGGCGAATGAATACAGTTATATACAAGAAAGATGAAGTAAGGTGTGAAAAAGGAACAGGGAGAAGACACATCGAGATGATGTAAATCATGATTCTAAAAAGACCCAATATTACCTTTTGTATATAGCGTCTGTCGCCTCTTGGCTCTATACTTGGCAGCACTGGCAGCGCCGTGACTCAGGCCAATGCCATCGCCCAGAATGCCATTACCATTGACTTTGGCATGGCGCACGGCCCTCCGCTTTGCCTCTCGGCGCTTGAGCTTCCCACTCCAATGGCGGATCTTGCGCAGGATGCGGTCGGCCATGAGGACAATGAGCGTGACGACCATGACGGGGACGGCGATGATCCAGAAGAAGGCGTCCGAGTGGTGTTGGACGCCGTTGAAGCGGGCAAAGTTTTGGCCAAAGTATCCGACGAGAAAGGTCAAGGGCAGGAAGAAGATGGTGGTTGCAGTCAGAATCTTCATGGATTCGTTTTGGTAGGCACCCATCATGTTAAAAATGAGGTCGATGAGGTTATCGGCTGCGCGGCGCATTTGGTCGAGCGAGGCGGTGATCATGATGCAGTGGTCTTCGACATCGCCGAGATATGTGTGGGCGAGGGGACTGATGTTGATGGATGTCATGGTCTTGCGGGTGGCCAGGTTGGAATTGGTGTGGCTGAGGAGGGATTGGGTCATGGGGTCTGCCTTGTGGTCGCGGAGCGAGTTGATGAGCGAGACAATGGGCTGAATGGTGTTGCGCAGGATGGAAAGTTCGGATGTGAGAATGTAGAGGAGTTGGCTGTGGTGGAGCTCCGGCTCCTCGAGCACATCGAGTTCCAGTTCGCCCATGGCATCCTCGTAGGCGGCCACGACGGGTATGGCCAAATCGACAATTGCGTCAATGATGGCCTGGACTATCATGCTGCTGTCCTGGCTGCGGCGGAGGATTGTGTCTTCGGTTCGCAGGCGCTTCAAGATCATGTCTTCGACATCGTCGGCCGAGTGCTCAAAAAAGGAAATGACCGTGTTGTCGGCGAGGAGGAAGATGCTGACCTGCTCGACGCTGACGGTGAGGTGCTTCTCGGTCAGCGCCGAGTGCTGCTCCAGGTACACTATGCGGTCGAGATTGTATCCGCCACGGTAGCGCTGGAGTGTGCGCACAGCGGTTGTTGCTGGAGGCGTGGGCATGCGGACTTTCTCGAGAGGCGTTCCGTCCAGCTGCTGCTCGAGACCGTCGAGCGTCTGTATCATGTCGTCCTTTTTCGTCTTGCCTCCGGCGCCACTGTTGGGAAAGAGCAGGTTCTTGGCTCTTTTAAACAAGGATGGCTTCCGGGATTTCTTGTGCTTCTTCTTGTGGGAATGGCGCGAACGGGACCGCGAGCGAGAGGCCTCGTAGCGGCGGTCGCCGTCGTCAGAATCCGAGTCGCTTTCCGAGTCGGAGTCGACGGGGGTGCGTACGAGCTTGGAGAGAGTCAGGAGCATAAAGGCCTGGTCCGAGTACCAGTCGACCTTGGTCCTGCTCTGGGTGCTCATCAAGTCCTCAATGGCCAGGCGGTGCAGCTGCTTGTGGTTTCCCAGGGTGCGGATGACATCCCAGCTCAGGCCATTGACGTTGATCCAGCGGCATGCGACCCAGTCTTCCTTGGGGTAGTTGAGGAAGTCCTGGAGCGTGTCATTGTCGAGCTCGTGGCACTCGACCCTTTCGTCGGAAAAGTCGACTACGGTAATCTGGCATCGTGCGTACAGATGGTGGTAGTTTGCAGCCTCGCTGTCGTTCTTGGTGTCGACGCCGGGCTCGGCGCCGGGCTCCGGGTGGTGGTATTGGCGCGTGGGGGACTGGTAGTGCTTGACCGTGTGGGAGCGAGTGATGCGGCGGCGCAGGGTCGAGTCGACGGAGAAGCGGTCGGGCGAGAGGAGTGCGTCTGGGTTGTGGGGAGCGGCCGACGTGGCCGTGGTGGTGGTTTGGGAGCGGCCGCGGGTGCTCTGGTCGCCATTGAGCTGCGTGTCGAGCGTCAGGTGCGGAGGCGCTGCTGAGTCGGAAGCCGAGCGGTCGGGCGTGGTCGGGGGCGGCGGGGCAGATGCGAAGTCTTGGACTCGCGGCTCGTGGGGTGAGGCTGCCATGAGGCGCGTGGGTTGGGGTTGGGATTGGTGTGGTCGGGTCAGGTCAGCGAGGACAGAGGGGCGAAATTGCGATGGCCAGCAGCAGCAGCAGCAGTAGCAGCGACGCGTCGTGGCGGTGGGCGGACGGGGGTGGGCGCGCACTGGAGCAGAAGTGTGGGCGTATACGGGCCATGTCGTGGGCGTGTAGCAGGCGCCTCGCAGCGGGGGCAAGGGGTGTCCATGGGCTGCACGGGTGTTTGCATGTGGCGAAACAACGGGCGCGCGAGATGGGCAGCATCGTCGGGTGTAGCATGCGAGGAGCAGCGGCAGCAGCAGCAGAAAGCGGCCACGTCGGGCAGAGCAGCGTGGCCATCTCTCACGCAGGCGCTGGGAGGGGGCGAGCACGAGTGCCACGCGACCGGGCAGCTGGCGGGGCGGGCAGCTCGGGCGGCGGGCGTGGTCGTGGCAGGCGGCGTGGGGGAGGAGCAGGACTGGCGGGAGATGTGGGAGTGTGGTGGTGTCTCTAGCGGTAGTGGATGTCTGGCGTGTAAGGCTGGGTGGTATGCGATGTTGGCTGAGGCTGGCTTGGTGGATGTTAGTCGCGAGGCTTTGGGGCGCGAGAGGTCATGGGCCGGTGGAGCGGCTAGGCCCAGAGCAGGCGCGAGCACGCCGCGGCCGCCGAAGAAGGCGCTCATGCTCATGCCCATGCTCATGCTCATGCTCATTTCTGCCAGTGCCAGTGCCAGCAGCGGCCGCCTGCAATCCGCCGAGTCGCGGCGCCTGCATTACTCATTCCTCGCCCTGTTGCTGCTGCTGCTGCTGCGCTGCTCCTGCTCTGCGTGGCAAGTCCAGCCACAGTGGCGCGCTTCCCCTTCCCCTTCCCCCTCCCCCCCTCCCTTTCCCGCGTCTGCTTCCATTTCCGCCGACGATGCGCCCCAGGATAATTTTTCGCCTGCGTGCTGGCACTGGCACTGGCACTGGCATCTGGCCTCAGCCTGGTTGACGGGCGTCATGCACGCCCACCCGCGCCCTCGCACGCCCAGGGCTCTTGCCTCGACCCGCCTGCCCGCCCCGCCCCCCAGTCGGCCGCTGCAATTCCATCTCCCATCCCGGCGCCCCTAACACCAGCAAACACGCCTCATCTCCCGCCCACGGCTCCTCGTAAATTTCCCCTCCCCTTCCTCTCCCACGCCCCTTTCACCCATTGCCGCCCTCCTTCACCAACCCTCCCCGTCTCGTCAGAGTTCGGCTGCTATCCGTCTCACCAGCCCGGCCGCCCACTCCCCCCCTGCCTCTGCTCTCGGCCGCCCTCTCATCTCTAAGCAGCGTCTGTGAGCACCACCACCACCACCACCACCAGCACACCCACACCTCACCACTCGACACCACACGGGCCCCGAGACAGTCCGGCCCACCGTCTGCATAATAAACAACACCCCGTCGACTGTCCGCGACCGCCCGTCCCTCTGCCCATCTCCAGCTCCCGCCCTCGTCGTCCTCTGCCCGCCAGTCCGTCTGCAGCCCACCACATGCGACACTAGTTCCTGCAGCCCTCGACCCGCCCATCTTCGCTCCACGTCGTCACCCACGGCACTCCGCAGCACGGCACACCAACCCCCCCATCCACCATGCGCGAAGTCAACTTCAGCATCCCGAATGCCAACAAGGCCTCGGTCGGCATCACAACCGCCCTCTACGACCGCCGCGCCCTCGACTGCACATCGACGCTGCCGCTCATCAACTCGCTCAACCATCTCGCCTACCTGACCACGTCGTCGGCCCGCATACGGGACATCCTCACCGTCGATGGCGGCATCGAGCGCCTGATATGCATCCTCAAGGAGGGCCGCAGCAAGGACATGATGGACATGTGGAAATGGAACCTGGCCTTCCAGTGCATCTTCAACATCGGCGTGCGAGGCTCCGAGAACGTCAGGACGCGTGTCGTCGAGGCCGACATGGTGCCCGTCATTGCCTCCATCCTCGACAACTACATCAAGGTCGTCGACAAGATGCGCGCCAGGGCCGAGGCTGAGATGCACAAGTCGTCGCGCCTGGGCACATCGAGCCGCCACCACTCGTCACGGACGGGCGAGGCCGCCTCGAGCTCTGCCCACCGAGCCGACCGATCACGACGCATCATCCCGCCTCCCATCGAGATTCCCCGTCCCATCGAGGCTCCCCTAGCCGAGGCTACCCCCGTCCCCTCCTTCTCGCTCAGCTCGCCCCCCGAGCGCACCACGTTTGCTCGCGGCCGCCCTCCCCACCACCACCATCACCACCACCGCAGCCACGAAACCCGCGCCCAGCTGTTTGGCGCCCCTGCCACCACCGCACGCACCCTCGGCCAGCCCTCGGTCACTGCCCTGCCGTCCATGGACACGGCCCCTGATGCCTTTGCCCTGCGCCCGGTGCGAGACGCCGACCGCCTGCCCTCGATGCTTCCGGCGTTGCAAGGCGAGATCACGTCGCAACCAGAGTCACCCACGACGCCCAGTGCTCCCCAGGCACGCCCGACAAGTCCCAGAGCAGGTCTGGCCAGGGCCCGTCGGCGGCCATCGATCCGCCATCAACTATCCGTGTCTGGCGAGTCGGATCTCGAGGTGCCGCAAGAAGACTTGTCTACAGAAGTACCCACAGCGGCAGGCCCAGCTGTGAACGAGCCAATTGTCGGCATCCAAAACAACGAGATCAACATGGCCGACATTGTCGGCAACCCAGAGATGCTGGACGCTGGCAACACACCGGTGCCCATTGCCGCGCCTTCAGAGGGCACCGACGAGAACAACGAGACGTTCAACATTACCCACCGTCCAGCACTCGATGGCAGTCTGATCAACCCAACCAACACGCCGCCCAACAACCCCATTACCGGTTTCTCGCCCATGCAGCCCACCATCAACGTGGTCAACACCAACCCTCCGCCGCCATGGTACCCACGCTACGCGCAGGAACGCAACGCCTCTGCCAGCGTGCTCGCCGCCATGCCCCGCGATGAAGACGTGCTCATGTCGCTGCAGCTACTGGCCTACGTGTCAAAGTACTGCAACCTACGAAGCTACTTTCAAAAGTCGCATCTGGTGCCCAAGCTCCGAATCGGCACGGAGCTTCTGGACGGCGAGACATCGGCGCCCAAGGCCGGCGAAGAGGAAGAGGAAGAGCTGGAGGAATACGAACTGCCCGACGACTTCAACATCTTCCCGCTTGTGGAGCAATTCACGGTCCGCCACCACACATCGGACATGCAGTACTGGGCAAGCGTTGTTATGCGCAACCTCTGCCGGAAAGACGACTCTCGTGGAGGGATCCGGCAGTGCGCATACTACCAGTGCGGCCGCTGGGAAGAGTACACTCGCCAGTTTGCCAAGTGCCGTCGCTGCCGGCGGACAAAGTACTGCAGCAAAGAATGCCAAAAGAGCGCATGGGTCTTCCACCGCCACTGGTGCGTCGCCGCTACCTAGGACATGCGGATCATACCCATTCTCTAATCCTTTTTCTTACCAATCATCATCATCATCATCATCATCATCACCATCGTCATCCTCATCGTCATTATCATCCTCATTGTCAGTTGGGCTGTTCCATCATCTTCTGGCCGCATATTGCATGGCGCTGGGCACTTGTTTTTTTTCTTTCTTTCTGGGGTTCTTTTTTTTTGATAATCTTTCAAAGGTGCAATAATTAATGAGAGACACGACTACTGGATACCACGACAAGTTTACAACTACTTCTATTACTCGGAATGCTTCTCAAAGGCAACAAAGGAAATCTAGGGGTGCTGAAGACTTGCGGAGGGTCTGCAAAGGCCAGGGACGAGAAGCGGAGAGAGGCGGAGAGCAGAGCAGAGCAGAGCAGAGCGGGGAGACTATACCACATTATTTTTTAAAGCGAAGCATTGTTAGCATTGGTAAAATGGGCACTGGGTTATTTTGGCGTAGTGCGTCGTGTGTTTGGTGCAGTTGAATGGAATGCATTTGGTGCAGACTGCTGTTGCATGTTGTGAGTGCATTTGAGAGTTTCCACGTGTATGTAGGCCAGCAGCTAGTCCATGTAGTATCAAGTATATATATAGTAGACTTTGTTAACACCAGGATGGCCAAGCGTGGTGTGCATGCAGAGGGAACCCCGCATGAAACGGCAATGCTGCTCGAACCGGGTGCTTTTCGCGAATCAAAGGCCCGATACTGATGCTGATAGCGACGGCCTCTTCTGTGCTAAGTAGAGGTATTAACCGAGGCTGACTTGGCCGCTCTCGTGGTCGACTTCTCCAAGCCCGCCCCGGTTGTTCGCAGGAGATCATCAGTCGCGCTGTGGGTCCAGGCCATGGGCGCAGGCGCAGGCGCAGGCGCAGGCGCAGACGCAGACGAAAAAAGCACACATGCACATGGGCATCTGGCATCTGGCATGGCGCGCCCGCCTGCATCCCAAGTGCGAGGGGGCGCACGTATGGGGCCGTGGGGTGCATCCAGCCACAGCCTTGATTACGTCAGGCGAGCACTACGAATACATGCAGAGCTGCCAGACCCCATCTCGGCCACCGTGACCGCAAAAGAAGCCGCCTCACCTGCATGACCGGGCAAATGCTCGCAGCGCTAGCCTCATGGGCACACCCACACGACGTGGACGCTTGGTTTATGGGCGCTCGCGCTCCGTCTCGACCATCTCCCCAACATGCACACGTTGTTGAACTGGTGCTCGAGAGGGGTCATGCCGCGCCACGTAACCGAGCAAACCAAGCACAGAGTTGACGTCGCCACACTGCACGCAAGCCGCTAGACATCAGGCCTCCCTCCCGCGACCACCCAAGTGGCACAGCCCGAGCCTGGGAAGCTCCCGTCTCGCATCTCACCCCCAACCCCAAGGACAGCCCGGTCCGCTCACCGCCCTCGAGGGAATGACTGGATGCAATGGCGACAGAGGGAGACGCTCCGGATTCGGGCACGCATGGTAGCCGGCATGGACATGGCATGCGAAGGCGCGCTTCAGCCTCTTTGGACCGGGACGAGCCAGCTCCTACACCAAGCGCAGAGGACACACGCTCCCGCACTTCAGCAATAGACAGCACTGTGCGACCCGCCATTGCGCGCCTTACCACGGATGAGTCGCCCCGTGTGCGCTTCTCAACCGACATCGAACGAGATGGCACCCCTCACAGAAGAAGCATGGCCAGCGCTCGTCGGTCAAACGACATGGCTCATGCAGGAAGGGCTTCTGGTCTAGGCCAGCCGTCTGAAAAGCCAGACTTGACGGTTGCCACGCAAGACGTCTCACGAGATGGCGAAGCTGGAAGCTTGGGACATGAGCTCCAGCCCCGCTCGCCGCTGTCCCCAACATCGCGTAACCGTGGATATTCCCTGCGCAGCGTTTTGTTCAGAAAAAATGTCCACGACATAGCAAACTCGCCGGGCGCCAATATTGAGCTGCATGAGGGAGTCGGACAAGGCGCGCGACCTCGAAATATGCAGGCTGCAGGGCTGAATGCATATCCGCCAGCATCCAAGAGCGAAGACACCATCGTTACCGTCACACCGCACCAACTGGAGCATGTCTACTCGGCCTCAGCAGATAGCGCAAAGTCCAAGCTGGGCGGTGGTCCAGTTGCCATCCCCCATCTTAATTCTTGGCTGAAGAACAATGCCCCAGGCACACGGTCACGCATGGCCAAACAGGTCAAAGACTATGCAGAGCAGGCCCGCAAGTTCATCTTCCGCATCAAGGACGTACCCCCGAGCAAGGACGGTCGGCACATTCAACTGGACCCTTGTCGCAAAGACGCCCTCGTAGATGAGCGCACGGGACAGCCATACACCAGCAACTGGATCCGATCTACACGGTACTCTGCCTGGAACTTTGTGCCCCGTCAGCTCGTGGCCCAGTTCTCCAAGCTAGCAAACTTTTACTTTCTTGTCATTGCCATTTTGCAGATGATACCTGGCCTTAGCACTACTGGTAAATTCACAATGATCGTACCGCTAATGTTTTTTGTCACGCTGTCCATTGCAAAGGAGGGATATGATGATCTCAGGAGGTATCGGCTCGACAAGGCGGAAAACAACCGGGAAGCCCAGGTGTTGCGGGCGGGCCCGTCCAAGACCCTCAACTGGGAGAAGATCAAGTGGCAGGACATCAACGTTGGCGACATCATCAGGCTCAATCGAAACGACACGGCGCCCGCTGACTTGGCGCTTCTCCACTCGACCGGCGAGAACAATGTCGCTTTTGTCGAGACCATGGCACTGGATGGCGAGACGAACCTAAAGAGCAAGCAAACGGCTGCATCCGTCTCCAAGTCCATCATCGACCAGGAAGACGTCCTCAGCACCCCAGCCGAGTTTGTGGTAGAGGACCCGAACCGTGACTTGTACAACTTCGAAGGCCGTGTCATACTCGACGGAAAGCAGGCACCACTCACACTCGGCGAGATCATCTTCCGAGGCAGCATCCTGAGAAACACGCCTGATGCGATTGGCACGGTCATCTACTCTGGAGAAGAGTGTCGCATCCGTATGAACGCCAACAAGAACCCCCGTATCAAGGCTCCATCTCTACAAGGACTCGTCAACCGCATTGTTATTCTTCTTGTAGTTTTCGTTGTGCTTCTCGCAGTCTTCAACGCTGTTGCGTACCGCATCTGGCAGAGTAACGAGAATAAAATGTGGTACCTCGCAAACACGTCGGTGGCTCTCTTCCCCAGCATCACTGCCTTCATCATCATGTTCAACAACATGATCCCGCTGTCGCTGTACATCAGCTTGGAGATTGTCAAGCTTGCGCAGATGTGGTTCTTGCACTCGGACATTGACATGTACGACCCCGTCTCGGATACGCCCTGCGAACCACGGACTTCGACCATCAACGAAGAGCTTGGCCAAGTCAGCTACATCTTTTCCGACAAGACGGGCACCCTTACGGACAACTCGATGAAATTTCGGAGGCTCAGCGTCGCGGGTACATCATGGCTGCATGATGCCGATCTGCAGAGCACTATCCAGAAAAAGCTAATACACAAGACAAGAAGGAAGGGCAAGCAACGCAGGCAAAGCTTCAAGTCAGCCAAGGCCATTTCGTCCGATGGAGCCACAGCCCCGGCGGTGGAAGTAACCGAACAAGCTGAGCCGGCCAAGACTACGCGAGAGCTACGCACAGAGGATATGCTTCGCTACATCCAAAGAAAGCCACACACGCCGTTTTCAAGAAAGGCCCGTATGTTTCTGCTGTCGCTCGCGCTGTGTCATACCTGCTTGCCAGAAGTTCAAGAGGACGGCAAGACCCAATTCATGGCCTCGTCGCCGGATGAGCTTGCGCTAGTACAGGCTGCACAAGACATGGGCTTCCTGCTAATCAACCGCGACGTCCACACCATTACGCTTAAAATCATGCCCGCAGGATCTGACTGTGAGCCTGTTTTGGAAGAGTACGAGATACTAGATGTAATTGAGTTTTCCAGCAAGCGGAAGCGAATGTCTATTGTTGTGCGCTTCCCAGATGGCAGAGCGTGCATCATCTGCAAGGGTGCTGATTCGATCCTCATGCAGCGTCTCAAGTTGGCTTCACTGGCGAATAAGAAGATGGTTGAGATTGAACGGCGCGCTAATCTGCGCAAAAGCATCGAAGTGCAGCATGCAATAGCCCGTAGGAGCGAACAAGTTGAGCGTTCAAACAGCGTTGTAGGTCGAATGAGCAGCATTGATGGGCGGAGAAGCATGACGCTTGGTCAAGCTGCGAGAGCCAGCCTCAACTTGGGCAGGCAATCGTTCGCTCCCAGTATTGCCGGTCGGGCATCTCAATCGGCAAGGGAGGAGGTCGACCAGTGGTTGCGCGAGCGCCAGTACGATCGAATGGACCTGTCATCCGTCGAAAGCACTCCTGCGCAGACACCCCGTCCGTCCGGTGTGGATCGGTTCAGCATGGCATTTTCAGAGGCTCGCAGCTCGATGCAACTCGAAGACATGGAGGCCATGGTCGACGAAGGCCTTGCTGGTGATGACACTGCCGTCATTGAGCGCTGTCTTCAACACATCAACGAGTACGCGACCGAGGGCCTTCGAACTCTGGTTTACGGATACCGATTCCTAAATGAGGACGAATACCAGCTGTGGAAGAAGGGCTATCTCGATGCTACCACGAGCCTCGTTGACCGGACACGCCGAATTGAAGAGGCTGGTGATTTGATTGAACAGGAGCTGGAGCTGTGTGCCGCAACCGCCATCGAAGACAAGCTGCAAAAAGGTGTACCTGAGGCCATTGACAAGCTCCGGAGAGCCAAGATCAAGATGTGGATGCTTACAGGTGACAAACGCGAGACGGCCATTAACATTGGTTACTCGTGCCGGCTGATCAAGGAATTCTCTACAGTCACGGTCCTCGACCACGAAGCCGGCGACGTGCCGGAGACGATTGGCTCAGCTGTCTTGGCCATCTCGCGCGGCACGGTAGCCCATTCAGTCGTCGTGGTTGATGGCCAGACGCTTTCCAAGATTACCAGCAGCGAAACCCTCGATGCTCTGTTCCACGAGCTGGCCGTCCTGGCAGACTCTGTCATCTGCTGTCGCGCTTCGCCGTCGCAAAAGGCAGAGCTCGTCAAAAGCATCCGCAAGCGCGTCAAGAAGAGCATCACGCTGGCGATTGGCGACGGAGCTAATGACATTGCAATGATCCAAGAAGCACATGTTGGAATTGGCATCACTGGAAAAGAAGGTCTCCAGGCAGCGCGCACGAGCGACTACTCAATCGCTCAGTTCCGCTTCTTAACCAAACTGCTTCTCGTACACGGACATTGGAACTACATTCGCACGTGCAAGTACACCGTCAGCACATTCTGGAAAGAGTTGTTTTTCTATCTCGCGCAAGCGCTCTACCAACGAAGCGCCGGATATACCGGTACCTCGCTCTACGAATCGTGGTCGCTCTCCATGTTCAACACACTCTTTACGTCGCTGCCCGTCATCTTCATGGGTGTATTTGAGAAGGATCTCTCGGCCTCGACACTGCTTGCCGCTCCTGAACTGTACACGATAGGCCAGCGAAACGGCGCGTTCAACTTTCGCGTCTTCCTGGCGTGGATGTTCATGGCCAGCTCCGAAGCCATGCTGGTCTATTTCTGCATGTGGAGTCTATACGGGCATGCCCCGTGGACGGGAGATGATTCTATCTTTGCACTTGGAAGTCTTACCTTTACCATTGCCGTCTTTCTCATCAATCTCAAGATCCAGTGCGTCTGCTCTTATCTACCAATTACTTTATACTAATACACACCAGGTTCATCGAAACACACAGCAAAACGATCACAAACGCCATTGCGATTTGCCTCTCCCTTGGCGGCTGGTTCCTCTGGAACATCATCCTGTCTGTGGCCTACGACTCGGGCAACCAAATCTACTACGTCAGCAACGCCTTTATCCACGGCTGGGGCTCGTCACTTCCCTGGTGGCTCACCTTCATCCTCATTCTCGTCGCCGCTCTCATATTCGAATTCGCAGTGCAGAGTCTCCGCTCAGCATTCTTTGCTACGGACGCAGACGTATTTCGTGCCTTGGAAAAGGACCCCGACATTAAGCGCCGGTTTGAAGAGGAGGCGAGTACCGAGTTGCAGATGGGCTGGGGATGTACGAATGAAAGCGCGGGTGCGAGTAAAAAAGGGTGGTTTGGCAAGAGGGTTTGGAGGAGCAAGAAGAATGCGGAGAAGAGCCAAGGCGAGATTGATGAGTTGGTCATGAGGAGGGTGCAGAATCAGGATGTGGGTGGTGGTGGTAGTGGTGGTGATGCAGAGGATGGGGGGGATATAGATCGGATTTTGAGTCGGGGGTATGGCCATGTGAGGGCTGCGTAGATGTCATGTCGTTTTTTATATGTCCAAGTAGATTAAATGTTTACACTTACTTGGCGCGAAGTCGTGATCAGGGTGCGTCAAGTCATCAGTAGGCTGTGTTTTCCTATGCTACACGGCTGCCTTCTTCTATTCTACAAGGCTGCGTCCTCTCTTACAACAGGCTGCGTACATTCTCCTCTCCTACACCAATATACCCAATCCCCCATCACACCAAGGTAATCACACCATGTCTCCACGTACCCTCAATCAAGCTCCTCTCCCCCCAGCGCCCCGCCACAGCCTCTATGTTCGCCGCCTCAACCCTCACACGCAGCACATTCACCCGCAACTTCCACACGCCTATCCTCGTCCAGCACTCGTCGCTCCCGCCTCGCTGTCCATCCGGCACAAGCATCAGCCCCGCAAACCGGCGCTGCACCGTCTTCGTGCCCGCACAGCGCACAACCTGGGATTCCGCCAGCAGCGCATACACGGCGTTCTTGGGCGGCGACACGGCACCCACATGGTCGGCGTAGTACTCCAGCACAGGATCCCAGCTCATCTGGCCATCAGCATTTTCAGGACTACAGCGCCGAATGGCCGCCATGCGCTGCGCAAGCTGCGCAGCCCAGTTGTCGCGCACGCCCAGCGTCGCGGCCGCAAGGCGCAACTGCACGCCGCCAAACGAGTGCATGTGCGTGGCGCCAGCGGGAACCTGGCCCGCTGCGTGTCGCGGAAACGTAAATGAAACTAGCCGCGCGCTGTATAGATCGGTCCAATGTACCAGGTGCGGGCTACTCAGCGCCTTGCAGCGCACGAAGAGCTCGTCGTCGCTGAGCAGAAACCGCGTCTCGTGGTACTTGTACAGCGGGACGGCGAACCACGACCAGCTGGGTAGCTGTGACTGTATTTCGCGCGGCAGCAGTGCATCCGCGCCGCTGGCGTCTTTTCCGAGTTCCGCGGTCCACGTTGCGTCCGCGATGCTGATTCCATCTGGGATGTTGTTTTCCGTGCGGACGAGCCAGGCGGGCTTGCGGTCGACGTGCCACAGGAGGGCTGCAGGCAGGATTTCAGCCCATAGCCCGCCGAGGTAGGTCAGTTTGCTTTTGTGCGAGAAGGCGGTTGCGATGCCTGCGAAGGCAATGATGCGGTCTTTTTCAAACGATAGCTTGCGGCCGCGATACTCGTTTACGATGTTTGTCCAGTCGGTGAGGAAGGAGAGGATGGATGGGTTGGAAAACGCGTGGTTGGTTGTGGCGGCGGCGGCGCTGACGGCCTGGATGCTCGTGGGGAAGTAGCGGGATTTTCCTCGGTCTTTGCCGCGCTTGGGATTGAAGAGTACAGCTGGGCTGGAGTCAGCGGCAGAAGAAGTAGTCTTGTTGGTGTTGGTGTTGGTAGGTGGCTCGATGGGAGCAGCAATCGCGCCCAGCAGTTCATCGTAGAAGTGGTGCGAGCAGTGCCACATGAGATTTCCATGTCCGAGCAGCAGCGTCCGCGGACTGAGCAGGTATTCCTGGAATGTCCATGCGCGGTGGAAGAGCGGCCAGTCGCGCTGCACTAGCCAGTCGCGCAGTTTACTGTAGTTGTCGATTTCCTTGCGGAACTCGATCGTCGTGTCGTCGTGCATGTAGATGGCTGGCGCGGACCCCTTCGCATGCCGCAGGATACACGGGCTCCAGATGCGGGGGTCGCTGCGCTGCGAGGGCTTCTCTGGCGCATGCGGTGGGAACAGAAAGGCGAGATTGCATGTGGCGTTTCCGTAGACGACGGCCATGCGTTGTGCTTCGTGGGCCCAGTCCGACGCCGAGTCTTGGATGATGCAGAGGGAATCGATCCAGAGGTACTTGTAGCCGAGGGCGAGCGTGACTCTCATGGCTTCTTTGTAGACATCCGAGGCTTCGAGTTGGTCGCGCGGCACTGCTTTCTCAAAGGCACTCACGTTGGATTGCAGGAGACGGAGCTGCTGCGAGTAGTTTGTGCCCCACATGTAGCTCAGCACGAGGTATGGGAACGGCTCGTTTTTGAGATTGCAGCGAAGCCGGATCGTGGTGGGAGTGATTTCCAGTACGCGCGTGGGCCGCTGATGTGGATTCGGAACTGTGCTGGTGTGGAAGCGCTGGCATTCTTGGTGCTGGGTAAGACAGCATTGGAGCCATTGCTTTGCTTGGGAGATGTTGTCTGAAGCGCAGAGTGGCACTTGTTTGGCTGTGATATGGCTGTCGAATGCTGTGGCATTTCCATCTATGTATGTTAGGATATGAACACCACAAGCAGTCACTGCGCCAACGTACTCTCATAAGCCCTGATCCTATACATGGCAACGAGCTGAAAGTCCTCTTCACGACTATTAGGCTTCTTCTTCCCAGGCTGCGGTACCAGAAACTCAATCATCTCTTTCAAAGGGCGTAAATGCACATACACCTCCTCGTGCTCAGCAACGCGCGGTAATCGGACTTGAACCCGACTCTGCAGGTGAGCAACCAGTTTTTTGCAGAAATGGCAGCGTGGCGCCGATTGAACCGCCTGAGCTACCGTGCAAAGACGTAAAATAGGCCAGGATGTGTTGTCGTGTTCTCTGTGTTCTTGCAGCCATGTTAGAGCCCGCCATTCGCCAAAGAAGTTGCTGCACCGCTCACATAGCTCATGGAGAGGAACAGAGGCGGGCAATGGTTTCGCGGTATTAACAGGAGTGCTGGAAGGCTGTCTCGCAGCATTATCAACAAAAGTGGTAGAGCCTGGCTCAGAAGTGCGAAGAGCATTTGAACTCGACTGTGCAAAAGTACGACCACGCGCACTCAAACTCGACTGAGCCACACCACCACCAGGCGCATTCACCATTCCATCCACCGCGTTCGCACGCGCGCTCTTCTCCCGCTTGGCAGCATGCCGCTGCTTCCGGAATCGCGACAGGAAAGAAGGCATGGTATTGAACGTGGAAAAAGCAAAGCATTAAAAAAAAACTCGGAATAATCTAGCGAAAAAAGAGACAGAAAAGGAAAAGAAGTACATGACTGGGTTTTGCATTCCTCGTTGAATGCCATGGGGTAGAAAATCAGGAGAAGGACTGCATATTAGGCAACAAGCACAGTGGCGGTACGTAGGGATGTGAGGATGCGAGGATGCGGGTGTGGGAATGTGAGAATAAGACATGGGCGCTTGCGAAACGCCCTTGCGGCACAGCTACATTATCGCCGTTGGCATGCACTACGCACGCATACCATACCATACCATACCATACCATACCATACCATACCATACCATACCACACCATGCCCTGCAGGAAGGAAGGAAGGAAGGCGAGCAGCAAGCCCAGCGCCCGAGTATGCAGTCCACGAGTCGAACATGGGGAGAGATAGCCCATGCACGCCTCAAGGCAGGCGAGCAGGCGGGTTCAGCGCGTAGAATATCCGGTAAGTACACCTACCCGCACATACATTTGTCGCATGCGCATGCACCAAGACATACAAGCATGTACATGTCCTCTTTTCTCTTCTTTTCTTTTCTTTTCTTTTCTTTTCTTTTTAATGTTTTAGCCACTACCCACCTACCTACCCACCCACCCACCTACCTACATATACGAGTCGAACGCGAATGCATCAAGAGAAACAGGGCATACGTATATGCTTTTTCCTTTCCTTTTCTTTTCTTTCCTTTTCTTTTCTTCCTCTTCGCCCTTTGATGTTTTAGCTACACCCTGGTATATCTACAAACATGCAAGCAAGCAAGCAAGCAAGCAAGCAAATATGCAAAGTGAGACATATATGCATGCATGTAGGGAAAATAAAAAAAAAGGAAAAAAAGGGAAAAAGAAGTCATGATTCAGGCGCGACAAGCATACATGTATGTAGGTACATGTATGTATGTATGTATGTATGTATGTATGTATGTATGTATGTATGTATGTATGTATGTATGTATGTATGTATGTATGTATGTATGTATGTATGTATATCTAGTGTGTCTCAGATATTTCAGCCTTGTAAGTACGTAGGCATGAATGCTGTTACTATGGATTAAACGTAGATAAGCGAGTTATAGGGAGGGGGGGGAGGGAGGACACGACACGACAGGAGGTAAGTAGAGGTGGAAAGGGAAAAGCGAAAAGCATGGATCAGGGATGAGGATAAGTAGGGCTGGAGGGGCTAGGCTGAAAGAAGAGAGGGAAGAGTAAAAGGACAGATATGTTAATAGAGAGAGAGGAGAGAGGAGAGAGATAAAAGGTAAAATTCCAAAACACTCCAACTCAACGAGTGTTTGAACCAAGACGGCCATGTCCAGTGGTCATGTTTGTCATGATGGGGGAACCTGGATGTGTGGTTCCCCTTCTTGTTCTAAAAGTTCGTACATGGTACATACATACATACATACACACACACACAACAACAAAAAAAAAGGGAAATCCCCCCAAAAAGTCTATACCAGTATAACCCACGCGCCCTCCACGCCAGAACATGCAAAAAAAAAATGCGAGGAGAAAGAATTTCTCTCCCTCGTCAAACAAGGACAAGGTACTACAAAA